TCACAGAGACGTGTTTTCCCACCTCACCGTCGCATTACTCGTTTCTGGCCGGCAAACCATCCACATGGACCACACCGGCATATGCTTCCACCACAGGCGTTGGGTCCGCACCAAGCGACTCCTGTGCAGATTCAAACAACAACGGGAATCATAAACCCGGGCTTTTTACTTAATTTCCTGTAAATATACATACATATTTGCGCTCACCATTTCAAATAAGAAAAGTGAAATCGTTCTCTTTTTTTTCATACAGAGCTATGTTCCCGCTCTCGCCATATAATCAGCATGAGTTGAACTCTCCAGACTCCAATGAGACGGAAAATTACGAGGCGTTGCTTAGTTTGGCCGAACGTTTGGGCGAGGCAAAGCCACGTGGCTTGGCGCGGAATGAAATCGACCAGTTGCCAAATTATAAATACAATCCTGATACTCATAACGGTGAGTAAAAACAATTAAATCGAATGCAGTGGCTTCGTTTGTGTCTTTAACTTATTTAAGGATACACAGCCTGAAAGTTGGTTGCTGAAAGTAATTTTTTGAATAAAGAAATTCTACTCTTGTAATTTCCGTAAACTCCTGAGCAGTTTAAAATTGCATGCGTTAGCTTATCCGCTAGAATTCTCGAGACACAGTTCCGTCTTTACCCTGGGAAAGCCTCTATGTACAGGCAGTACAGCGTGTCACACATGGGTCAGAATACCCTATGCAGACGTCTTAACCGACTCCAATCGAGACGAAAATTTGTATGTGATATCTTCGACTATAGTAGTACCAATTGGGTATTAGATAAAAAAAAATTAATTTTAATTTTTTTAGTCTCTCTAAGGACTACCCTAATGCACATACATGCATACATAGCTTTTCAACGCTTTTAAATCATTGTGGTGCCTCTTTCCCCCTTCACATTATACGTACGTGAAACCTGATTCCAATGTGTCTATTACAATTGAATAACATTTAAAGTCCGATTTTTAAATAAAACTTGGTTTTTACGAAAGCGTGCTCTATGTGGGCCTATGAGCGTTCGCCCGGCAGTAGGGTCTAGCGTTGGAACTTTTAGTTGATTTCGATGATCGAATCATTCAAGTGAACTAATTCATTTAGTTCATTCTCGTTCATTTAGTTGACAGTTTGCAATAGTGAATCCGGGCAACAAAATACAACATTTTATTTAGAATAACATTCAAAGATAACATAAATATTAGCTTTCTTATAATCAATTCACTATATGTAGGCTTTGTAACAATTCATGGCAATGTAATTAGCAACCTATAGCTTTTACAATATTCACAAATAATTTAAAATGTAGCTTTTTTTCGTTGATATTTTGAAAATGGCAACCTGTAGCAAATAGTTAATTTTAAATTTCGAACTAGTTCGTTCGATCAATGCAATTTCCTATTTCATTCAACGAATTAGTTCGTGGACTTCTCAACTCTAGCTGGGCCTTCGTATATCTGACCAAGGTCACTCCAGAATCATTCCCAGTTAGGGTTGCCAGATCCAAATTGTCATCCAACTGGACATTTGAATAAAATATCTGGACATGCACAAATAAAACCGCTGCATGTTTATGGACAAAAAAAAAGTAAAAATTTACATATTTATTATGTATTGATTTAGCCATCAATAAAAAGAAGAAAAATAGACGTATTAGAAATACAATTCATTTCATTTACAAATGAAAATATAATACCAGTCAAGTCTACTATATGTACCTTTGTGCTAGCGTAGCAATTTTTGTTATAATTCTTTTAGAACTTTTATCCTTCTGTCGAGGACTTCATGCTATTAATTCAAACATTGCCAATCGAGACTATTACAGCTTAAACCATAAATTACGTTGTGAAGTACTGGTGAACACAGCTTGTTATGCTAAGGATTTGTATGAAGTTTCCATGTATTTTATAATAAATCAGTCAGAGTAGACATCCAGCAATCGAATGCAAGTGCTTTTCCGAAGCCAGAGTTCCGACTTGACAATATTTGCATGTGAGCGCGTAACCGTATTTTTTTTTTACCCAATCCCAGAGAGTCCCAGTGATTGTTTGCTAAACTTGTATGCTGTTACTACAACAACAATGTATCTATGAGTTTAGTAAGAGTTTAGTAAAAATTTTGTATTTTAAAAATTGTATGACAAAACGTATTTTCTATTGGTTATGTTTTGAAAATAATCTTTTAATTGAAGTAAATCTAAGCACTATTTATTGCATGGTTAAATCAAGAGCCATTATCTAATAATATCTAATACGAATTTGTTAAGTTTTGGTTTGTTTTATTATTGTTATTTTTTTTCATTTGGGAACTATCAGCAATGTAAAGTGCATTCCCCGCTACGTGGCACCAGAACTAGAGGGTGGGGGTCGAGAGTTTTCCTAAAATTTACTTGGCAGATAAAAATTCTAATATTTTACATTGATAAATTTGATTACTTAATATCCCACATAAACTCAACAAGTAAGTATGTAGTGTTAACGTTGGAAATTCGTTTAAAAATTTTATTTTTTTTTTTGTAAGGGAGGAGGGTGGGCCTACACATGTTTAGTACCGTGACCGGAGTTTCCTTTACGGCCCTGCCTACATACATTTATTAAAAATGAAATGTGACTGCAATCTAACAGCCCGATTCTGTGCCCTTGATAGCCTCAAAATTTTTATTTTTTTCAGTGTGTTAGAATAATTATTTGAAAGACATTTTTTCGAATATTCGGCCAACGATACCACCCGTAGTAGCTCGCTTGAAAATTAATTTTCACTGTGTGGACACTAGAAATCCTTTACAATTGAGACTTTCTGCTTCGATATTACTTGGATCCAAAAATAAAGCTTTACTTGGAGTAACAAACTCCGGCAAGAGTGAGCCCATTTTTGAAGAATCGAATCATTGATGTGAATATTCATCGTTATAATTTATTCATTCGACAAATCTTTTTGACGATTTTTTTTTTTTAATTTATATAATACTGAATGTAGTCACGGTGTCAAACATTGTTTGAAATACAACATTTGAATAAGAAATATTTGACTAAAACGAGTTATTGACTATTCAGTAGTAATCTTTAAAAGATGTATGAACAGTGGCCATATTTTTACAAAAAAAAGGAAGCTGAAAACAGCATATTTTCCGAGCAAAAATAATTCGAAAAAAATACACAGATATATGCATGTATATATATGCACATTAGGGTGGCCCAAAAATACACGTGAAAAAGTAAAGTCGGAATTTTTATGCTCTCACCCCCTAGGATTATTCTATACCGAAAAAATATACTCCTATTTTTTTATTTTGAAATCAAAAAATATTTAGAGGTCGCTCAAAGCGCCCAATTTTCCATGTATTTTGTATGGGGAATAAAAACGTATTTTCGTAGAAATCGTATAGGTTTCTTAAAAATCAATATTTTTCTATCGGAGAACTCTGTTTCTCTGCAACAGATTCCCAATAATAATAATCAATTGTTTATTTAACCATTTTTTCATCGCTACTATAATCTATGGGTCCGCCAAAAACCCACAAGAACCCCGAAAACTTCAATGGGGGACCAATTAAAAATCGTTAGTATTAAAAAATGGTTAAATAAACAATTGGGTATTATTATTGCAAGTCTCCTGAAGATAACCAAAGTTTATCGATCGAAAAATATTGATTTTCAAGAATTCTATACCATTTCGACGAAAAGTTGTTTTTTCCATATAAAAATACATGGAAAACTTTGAGCTGCTCAAAGCTCTAAAATATTTTTGCTCTAAATATTTTTTGATTTCAAAATAAAAAAATAGGGGTATACTTTTTTCGATATAGAACAATCCTACGGGGTCAGAGCATTACATTTCAGACTTTACTGTTTTTGGACCACCCTAATGTATATCCATATACAAATTCAAAATACTACAGGTATCCATTAAACCATTTTCACCCGTTATTTTCGCCCACAGGTGATCAAACATCCTGCGTTGTTTGTATGTGCGATTTTGAGTTGCGACAAGTGCTACGTGTGCTACCTTGCTCACACGAATTCCATGCTAAATGCGTCGACAAATGGCTAAGGGTAAGTAAAGTACATATGTACATTAGACTGCATACAAAAAAAAATCGGTACTGTTTTTCCACTGGAACTATAAAATCTTTTATATTTTAAGACTTCCACCAAAATATCTCGCAAAATATTAAGATTTACGTTAGCTGGACCGATTTGAAAATACATACCTCCAAAAATTGAGTTTTTTTTATTAATAAAAACAGTTTTTTTAATATCTTTTGAAAAAAATTACCTCAGATGACTAAACAGTTTAAGCTCAAAAAGTTTGCATAAAAATATTTTTAAAAAATTTTCTACGGAATCATAATAATGAGATTTTGATGTTGTTTTTGAACGTTTTTCAATGACTGGTGTGAGAAAAACTCGAATAACTCAGCGAAAACCTTACCAATTTAGACTTATGAGGTATCATTGGTAAGTTATTTCACCCTTTTAATTTATTTGCGAATAAGCTCATTCAAAGTATGAAAGAGGAAGGTAAGATAAACCAAAGTCATTCCATGTTGAATTAAGATGTGTTGGTATTTGATACAGAAAAAATCGGGACGTGAATGAGTTTTTTTTTGCAAAAAAATAAAAAAGGGTGAGAAAATACCTTTCCACTGATACCTCATAAGTCTATATCGGTAAAGTTTTGGAGCAGTTATTGAAGTTTTTCTTACACAAATTTTTACAAAAAAAGTTAAAAAGCAGCATCAAAAATGTATAATTATGATTCTGTTGATAAAAATTTTCAATATTTTTATATAGATTTTTTAAGCTTAAACTGTTTGTGAGACTTTTTCATAACTACCTCCATTTTTTCATAAAAAATTCTATTTTTAGAGGTATTTTCAAACCGGTCCAGCTCACGTAAATCTTAATATTTTTCCGAAATATTTTGGTAGAAGTCTTAAAATATACTAGGTTTTGTAATCCCGCCGGAAAAACCGCAACTTTTTTTGGTGATGCAGTCTAATGTGTGTACATGCAAACATATGTACATATGTATGTATGTACAAATATTGAATTCATTAAAAACATGTGTACATACAAGTATGTATAATGTAACCAAAAATCTATGCATCAAAGTGAAAATCGCTGGCTTAGGTGAAAAAGTCTTTTTTTTTTTAATTTTCAGTAGAGGAAGAAAATTTTTATAGGTATTTATTTCTTCAAGTATTTCCCAAAACTTTTCATACAACATTTCGCGTGTTTAAAGCAAAACCAAACTCCATACGAATCAGAAGGATTATATCTTTATTAAAAGGTTTTGTATTATTTTGGCTTTACCGGATTTTCGAGCCTTCTTTTGAAATTCGGAACGCGAAAAAAAAGAAGTGCCTTAATCCTTTCCGAAACAAGGCATTATTAATTTCTCTTGCTGAAAATATGAGTTTTTATAAAAAGTAGACTTAGCAACTTTTCACTCTAAGGTAGCGATATTGAATATCCTCTACCTGCAAAAACTAGTAGCTGAGATCTATCTGTCGAAAAATTTAATTATATCATTCTGCATTTTAGTCAAATCGAACCTGTCCCATTTGCCGTGGTAATGCATCCGACTACTTTGAGAATCCGGAGCAGCAGCAATCACAAGCCCAACAAACACAGGCACA